CCTGGCATGACGCAAAACAAAACGCAGATCCAGAGCCAGCGCCTGCACCAGCACCGGCCAAACAAAATGCCGACCCAGCACCAGCACCAGCACGGCAGCAGCACCCGTAAAACGAAAGCACCAGCACCAGCACGGCTGCAGCACCCACAAAACGAAACGCCGATCCAGAGCCAGCACCTGCACCAGCACCAGCAAGACGAAAGCACCAGCACCAGCATCAGCACGGCAGCAGCACCTGCAAAACCAAAATGCCGAATTTGAGTTAGGAATTCCACCAGCACCAGCATCAGCACGGCAGCGGCACCTGCAAAACCAAAATGCCGATCCAGCACCTGCACCTGCACCAACATCAGGACGGCAGCAGCACCCGCAAAACCAAAACGCCGATCCAGAGCCACACCATTGAAAAGTTAGAACCCCTACAGCCTGCAGCTATCTGGGGGAAACAATGATACTTTTTCAGTGTCATAGCGGAAAAGGCATTTATTCAGCGTCACAAAAGTAAAAAGACACTTTTTCAGTGCCATAGAGACAGAAACGAGAGAATAAACCTCCTTCCCTGCCTTCAGTCCTGTCCTTTGTTTGTCTTCTCGAACCAGCCGGTTGTACCAAACATCTGAGCAAATACCAAAACCATCTTCTCTGTGTGTGCCATCTTAGTGCACATCCTTCTTGTATGTTATGCTTGAATCGCCCGCAATCGCTGCAATTGCCACCATAAAAATGCAAATGTGCAATCTTAGCGTTTCTGTACATGTTGATTATGTTGATGATGACTTTTTTGGCCTTAGGTCCTGGGTGACCTTTTAGCGTCTGCTTACGCCATTTTTCCGTGATTCCCTATAGTGTTATTTTGCTTCCTAATGCTCTCGCTCTATGCCCGCTCTCCAATCCAAGACTAATGATCGTTGTTTTACCAAATCCCAGCGTTGGATGCCAGAAACAAAGCTGTAGGAATCTGTACATTGACAAGACCTTGTAACTGGCGATATGAGCAACCAGTGATGCTACACTACAACATACTACAACAACTTTATCCGACCATCCATCAAGTGGGAGATTTTACTTTTGGGCTGGGTGCTCGGTTGTGTTTGTGGGGGTCCACTACTGTTAAACATTCAGCCCAAAAATGACATTGAGTCTACCGGTCATTTGGTGGCCTTGGGCTGGTATATATGCTTAAAAATCTTCTTCGTTTCCTTCTTCTTCTTCTTCTTATTCTTCTCCTTCTTCTTCTTCTCCTTCTTCTTCTCCTTCTTCTTCATACCTGCCGTGAAACCTATGCAACCCCATCCGAACCCATTCAACCCCATACAAAACAGTCCAAACCCATGCAAACCAGTACAAATCCCACCCAAACTCATCCACACTTATCTTTTTGTTCTTTCTCCTCCTTGGTCTCTTTCTGTTTGTCCTTCCCTTTCTCTGTGCAAAAAGATTCAGGCGTTCCGTGAGGGCCTGCAAGTACATGGTCTTTAAGCCCTTTTACAACAATTGTCCTGGGGCTCATGTGAAGGAAATTGCGTTTGCAAGGATCTCATTCTTGTCTAAGGGTTGTAGGCCGATCAACTTTGTTCACCCTTCCAATCTAAATGTGTTGCAAGGCTTTATTTTGTTCTGCTTTGCTATTGTGTTCAGCAAGTAGTAGGCAGTAGTTGTCAGTTTAAAAGCAAGTTTGCTGCACAGTGGATGTTACTTGGACAAGGTTTCTACATAACATGTCCAAGCATCAGATGAGGTAAACAGGGATACAACTCTACTATGATGATATGGGGGTCATACTGGGCTATCCTTGAGTGCTGGAAAATTGCAGCAGTCAGTGCCTGAATCTTAGGTACCAAGTGGGTGTATATATATATTGTATAAGTGCGCGTTTATGTGACATATGTGTATGTGTATGTGTATGTGACATATGTGTATGTGTATGTGTATGTGTATTTGTGCGTGTTTAAACATGTGTGCGGTGTGCGTGTTATTATATCTAGTCTATATGTCACATGTGTGTCCGGCTCTCTTTCTCTGCAAAGTCTAGCCATGTATATACATCTATCTAAAGGAGACTGTAGCAAGTCTAGCTCCTGGTCGATGTAAGTCTAGCTGTCGACTGTACCTACAAACGTAAACATCGGCCAGGAGACTGTTCTGCGTCCAGGGCACAGCTGGCACGGGCACCCGAGTATTACCCACATTCTCACTAGCTAGTTCTTGGAAAGATCAAAAGTTAATGCCCTTATCAAAAGCTGTTCTTTGACTGTTCTTGGATGTTGGGTCACCAGCTTCTGGTTTGGCTGAATGGCTGGTTTAGCATCTGTGGCCCGGGCAAACGCGGGGGGCTGGAGGTCTAGGCACCATTTGCGGTGGTGCAGCTGCCGACCTCAGGAACAAAGTGAAGGACTCTGCCCGCCAATCAAGACAAAGGTTGTGCAAGATTCCTGGAACTGAGCGGTGTTGAAGCCAGCAGGTTTTTGGTGCATTCACGGATGGTGCTGGGTTGTTGGGCCTGGCCGCAGTGTAGGCTCATGAGGGCTTTCTTTGCGCCGCGCATTGGCCACACAAGGGTGGCTCACCGCAACTCACTGAGCATCTTGAGGCAGTCCCTGCTTTCTTTGACCAGACAAAAAGGCCGGTCGCCCACCCCACCAGAGCGCGATCTGAGATCTGCACCAGCTCGTCCCTGAGCCTCACGTGACGCGCTCGAAGGGATGTGACGCATCACGTGACGCTCTCTGAGGCGGTGACCAGCTGAAGCCCACCTCGGAGACGGGAGGGGTCAGCCGACCCAAGTAGGACAACCCATTGGTTACACGTGGGGTTCTTTGCCGGTGCGAGGTCGTGTTGAGGGATGGAGCATGCGTTTCTCTTCACCAATTGGTCTTGCGAAGCTGTTGGCGTGTTGGCGCTTTCTACATGCTGTGCCGTCCGCGGACCTGCTCCTCATGTCTGAAGACCAGCTCGAAACTGCTTTCTTCCACGGCGGTGTATTCCGTCCACGGGTAGCAAGTCACTCCATATGTGTCAGGGTGCGCAATGGCAGCCTTTTTTTCCGGTAGACCATGAATGCGCCACACAATGCAACTCCTTCACTACTTGCCTGCAGAAACCGCAACAACTCCAACGCCGAGGGCTGAACTTTCCTTTCCCACCATCGCCTGAGCGGAGTGCGCAGGGCACCCACTGTGAACAAAATGCAAAGCCACTGTGCCCTGCCTTTGCCGTGAGACCTCAGCGATGCATGCTGAGAAGATCTCAAGAAGTTCGCAGTATGTGCATGTGTGGGTAGGTTCAAGAGGGTCTTATCCATGTATCTAGTCTCCTCATGCCTTCCCATCACGCCCAATGCTCCTGATCAAAAAAAGATACATGAATTATAAAATTACTGTACCACTTCACAAGTCTTCATTGATAATATCAGATAAAAGGATTAATAAAAATAATATATATATATATAGTTCATGTGAATTCTCATAAAGATATAAAAGGCTTATTAGAAGATTAAAAGATGAATGAACCGGCTACCAAATTAGGAGCTATAACCCTAGGCTTTTATTAATCCAGTCTCGGGGTCTGGCCAATCTCCCCAACCTGCGCAAGCTGCGATGTTGGGGGGTGATGTGAAATAGAGCTCCGTCTTAGCTTGAAAAATGCCACCCAGTGACAGCAACTCCTACTTTGACAAAGTCAAAAGAAAGAATGAATGAAAGAAAGAAAGAAAGAAAGAAGGAAGGAAGGAAGGAAGGAAGAACACTACAGCCAGCAGCAAGTAGGTCAACGGCTCTCTTTCTCGTCCAAAATACTACCGACAACAACCACAAAAGCCACCACCACAACAACACCCCCGAGCCTCCACCACTCGCCGATGAGCTCCCCCAGCCTCACTTCAAAGAGAGAAACTGGGAGGTTCCAAAGCACCGCGGTGGACTCCGCAGGCCGTGGATGTGCAGTGCACGACCGACGCAGAGTGCGGGCTGGACCACCTGATGGGCGTGACCACCTGATGGGCGTGAGCTAGTCTCACCTGATGGCTCGCCGCATGGGTCCCACACCTAGCAGTTGCATGATCAGACCTGTCAAGCGGGTAAGGAGCCACCATAGGGCCATAGGGACTTCGTTCACCGGGATTGGGTGCCTTCATCGCATCCTCACATGGCGAGGAACCCCCATTGATCCTTCGCCCTGAGACTGAGGACCCCGGCCTTCATCCCAACCTCCGTAGCCACCGTAATCACCATAATCCCAGTCTCCACAGCCTTGCCGAACCGCCGCAGACCACCGCTCCGCACGCCCGGCGCGAACGTCCGGAGACGGCGAGCCATCGAAGCACGAAGCCGGAGACGGCCTCCCCAACTCATGGCTGCCGCTGCGCCTCGGCCTGCGAAGGACAGAGAGTCAGGGAGGGACCCTGCACGACCTGTGACGAACAGCATGGAGGGCACAAACTCTGAGCATCCAGGGTTTGTCCTGAAAGAACTTCGAGGTTTGTCCTGAAATCATCTTCGAGGGCACCAAGAGAGCTTGCAGTTCTTGGATGTTTCACAGGGACGTTAGGCCCCCTGCGACACCCTCCCATTACTTTCATCTAAGGTCATACGAGGCTTTCCATCTAGGAGAAACATCGCAAAACTGGTCTTGCACTCTGCATTGCGGCCATCAACACACAGGCCTCTGGGTCAATTGCCCATCCGAAATGAGGCGCATGCTCTGAAGCCAAGAATGCTGCGAGGTCAGCGTGGTCATCTTCCACCGGAAGATCTAAGCCGGAGGGGCTGGATATACATCCAATAAAGAAAATGACCACCAAGCAGGAACTGTTTGGGACTCTAGATTTCTGGATGGTGTCAGGTGGCCAAAGGATGAGCAGCATGAGGTCATTGCACGCATATTACCAATGTATAATTTCACCTTGGCAGGGTGGGCCCCAGCATTGCCCTGGGCAGGGGAGCAGGGTCGTCCTCCGTCTCAACGACTGACTTCACTGATTCGGCTCCTTTTTGAACTCGGATGGGCTGAGCGCATCACTGGATTCATGGGCCTTAGGCCTATCAAGCCAGTGATTCTACTGGGCTACAGCGGCTACACAAGTTGTGCTGCCAACCTTTAACCAAACACACGAGCGTTTCCGAGAACAGCTAAGATGTATAAAGATCTCAATTCTAATTCTAACCTACGGGCCAACACGCCGTCGACAACGACTTTCTTCCTCCGAGCACTTTCTATGTACATATCCATCAGCCTGGATCTTTGTTTCGCCAAGGGGTCTAATCCTCCCCCGAGGCTGAGGAGGATGAGGATGACGAGGACGAGGACGATGACTCGACGGTTGGAGGAGCCTCGTGAGAATCAAACCCTGATGGCCGCGGAAGCCACTGCTGGTAAATCTTCACACAGTGCCAAATCGCCCAGCAAAAGAGCATGAGAGTTCGCCGTTTTTCGCGGCGTGTTCTTTTGAGGTAGCATCTTCACACCGTGGATTGACAGCACTCCAAGCCACGTAGGTCTCCCAGTCCCGCCTCTTCCTTCCCCATGATCAGTTGCCTGGCATGGAAAACGCTCGGGTTCGCTGCATCCTACGTACACCGACGAAGGAATTGGGCCATCCCACTATATCCCGCTGGTCTCTGACCGTGCAACAAGGAGTGCAAGCAGCAGAGTAGAGTGTGGAGTGGATGATAGTGGATGGCACAAATTGGGTGACCGTTTCAGATAAGGGAGCATTCAAAATGGTTTCTTGACGATTGAGCCAAGAAAGTACTTGGTGGCCATTGAAGTACCCAAGCCCTAAGACCCGCCCAATCAAATTGTCCTGTGTCAAAGCCGCTGCAGCTGTAGCGAGCTACAGGCAGAAACTGTTCAGGATAGTCGGCAGCATATCTCATGGGCCAAGTCAATCCCCACAGTTTCACCCACTTCCAAAAGGTTTGAGCAAAGATCAAGGAGCTTGATGTCGAGTGTGCCAATCCAAATCAACAAAAATCAGACCAAAACAACACTTCGCCCGTGCTTCCAGCTTCGCTATGCTTTCGCTATGCTTCGCCTTCACTGGAAGACCCGCTCCCACCACGCCGCCGCTTTTCCGGCCTCACCGCCACGCCCACCAAGGCACCTTGCCGCTGAACCTGAGACGAGACCGGGGACGAGGGTGGAGACAGGACGAGCTGAGGAAGGACCCGTTGTCAGCTGAGAGCTGACATAGATCTGTAAAGAGCAATGTCAATGAATAAGAGAAGTTCAATTCCCTTTGGCGAAACGAACTAAGACCATCGCGGCCTTTTCGCGGCCCCCACGCTCCTCCCTGCGAACGAGCGCAGGCACGCGGTGCAGGTGCACAACCACCACACTCTGCGCAAAAAGTCTCTGTATTCATCCACTGCCCGGCGTGATGAATATCGAAAAGAAGAATGTATGCATACACAACATGTCTCGTCAAACGATATCTGTTGTAAGGACTGACTGCCAATCAGCAACTGACTGCCATAAGGTTCAGAGCCCTCAGGAAAGCTAGGCAGCGGACGCCCAGCGTTTTCGCAACACATTCAGCTCCTTCTGCTTCCGCTGTACCTGCTATACGGTCGAGAAAGCTCGCTGTCGGACCATCCTTCACCCCCAGATACAGTGCTTCAAGGGTCTTCTGAAAGGGTTCGTCTACAAGAGGGTTATCCTCTCCTCTCCTCTCCTCCCCTCGCCTCCCCTCCCCTCCCCTCCCCTCCCCATCCCCATCCCCATCCCCATCCCCATCCCCATCCCCATCCCCACCCCTCTCCTCCCCTCCCCTCTCCTCTCCTCTCTCTCTCTCTCTCTCTCTCTTTCTCTCTTTCTCTCTTTCTCTCTTTCTCACTCACTCTCTCTCTCTCCCTCCCTCCCTCCCTCCCTGCCTCCCTCCCTCTGCCTCCTGACTATGTTGACTCGTGACAGCTTTGAGCGACTACGAGCCGAGGGGGCCTCTCTCCTCAACTCGCGATTTGCGTCTGGAATGCCATCGTCCTCATCCTCACCACCTGCCATTCTGAGCTTGGAGCAAGTGCATCGTGCGCTTCACGGGTGCTTGTGGGGTCGGCCCCAGCCTGGAAGCAGGCTGGATCTTTTTCCGTCTGTGGCAGCCCTGGCGACACCCAAGTCGTTGCACGGTCGTTCGCTTCGTTGCTTGAAAAAGACCCGCCAGACTGGCTTGGCGCGGTGGATGCGGACCTCCACATGTCGCGTCTGGATGCGCCTCAACTAGGGGTGAGCCCAGACTGGCTTGTGCCAATGCACGCAGAGCAACGGGAACATGCAAACGAATGAGGTTCGCAAAATCGCCCAGAGCGGATTCAACAAAATCTGATATGGGTCTTATGTTGCCATCGTTATCGTACACTGCACTCTTACCTCGTCACACCCCATCACTGCACTCTCACCATGTCTTCTCGTCCTTCCGCCGAAGCGCAGATCCTCCAACTCCTTGGCCATGTTCAGCAAGCCCATGACGCTTGCCTTGGCCTCATCGGTCACATCCGCCTGCCTCAGGACAGATACAGCGAGGATCGTCCAAGAAGGCTCCATTCGCCCTTTCAGCGGCAGCTGCTGCACTCCCTGAAACAATTACGGAAGTGGAAAATTGCAGCTTCGACCATTTTTCCTCCCACAGGTGGTGCCATCCACGTAACCGTGATCCGAACTCACGGCGTGAGTTAGGAGTTCGAACCTCCCAACTCTCCCTCCAACCAGCCACCTGACATGAGGAATCCCAGAGTGATTAATCAAGCCGCCCAGTTTTCGGTGCCATTCGTTCCAGACCTTCAGTTCTACTAGATTGATGGCTAAGGAGTTCCATGGTCTGAGGGCGCGTTCTGTTGAGAAGGAGTTCCAAGGGAGTCCGGTCGGGCAAGAGTTTCTGGGAGGCAGAAAATTCGAAAGCCAAGAGTTCCGGGGGAGGCCTCTGTGACAAACCAGCATCTCCCCAGCAGTTTTTGAACTACACTCCCTCGAAGTAGAGTTTTCCACCATGCTCACAACAATCCAACAAAACCATTTTCCACTTCGATGTCCTCACAGCCATAGTTGCTGGTCCCGTCCATCCCGCCCCACTTGGTCACCCTGGCATTGGACTCAAGGCCTCAGATCACGGCGTCGGAGCGATTCACCCCCAGGGGTGTGGGGCGAAGAACTTTTAGGGGAACCGTGAGTCACTGGTGCAAGGCGTTTTGTTCATCTGGGAGGGCCCAGGCAACTGGGCATGGATGATGGCACTAGGGTGATTTAATAAACTAGTTTGATGCTTTGACCTGCGATTGGACTTGTGAGAAACACTTGGGTAAAAGCATGCATCAGCAGAACCTCCATCCGAAGCACTAAGTTCCAAAGAATCAAAGCCTCAAAAAGGATCGGTCCAGGCACGTCTCGACACATCGACTGAGATCGTGACCCCAAAGATTTGGATTCGCCGCTTCCGAGCAGCTGCCTTTGGCGTTCTGTCCTGCCAGTCGCTTCAAGGCTGGCCCAGAAAGTTTAGCAGCGCTCAGCCCCATAAACACAGAATCCAAAACTGGATTCGTAAAACACCCCAAGAAAGGCACGGCCGAAATCCAGTTGTGGAGAATACCCTCGCGATCTTCGGATGGCTTTTGCACCTATACAGCTGGTTGACCGGCAGAATCAACATGTCCTGTCGGCGCAGTCTTTCCGACCTGACATCGCGCCGGCGTGCGGATTCCGCTCCAAACACCGCAGAATGGGAGGATCCTCCGTGCCTAGTCATCGGCATTGGAGATGATCTGGTAGGCGTTTCATCCAATGGAGCCTCCACTTCGGCATCGAGGTTTCCTCTTCCTCCTCGTCCTCTCCCTTCTCTTCCACCTCTAGATCCTCCTCTTCCGCCTCCAGATCCTCGTCCTCTGCCACCTCCGGATCCTTCTTGTGGCTCTTGTCTTCTTTCTCTTTCTTCCTTCTCTCTGGAGGGCGCGGGACGTCCCTTGGCTACACAGTGACTAGACCATGTGAGTAGATCAACCCATGCTAAGTGTGCCACGGTTTCAGCCTTCAAGAAAGCGTGACGTCTGCGCCTGGGAAGAACACGTCTCAGAACGAAACACTACATTGATCAGGACAACCGTTTCTCAAGCAAGGTCTTATTACATGCATGGTGCCCATGAACATGCCCAGATGGGTTCCAGCTGGGAGTCCTTTGCTGGAAGAGCCTCTAAATCAAGACCCTCAATGTGCATCCCTGATGGCAACACAGGGCCATTGCCATTGATCCTGGATCTTGGTCGCCAAGTTGCGTGTCACCGTCATCCGGCTCCTCCTAGAATGGGAAAGGCAGGTGCTCAACTCTTGTCGGCTTTCCCCCGGAAAGGCGACCTGTTCAGGTGTCTTCCTCCCCGAGATGGACAGAGATTGGCCAACTCTATTATACCCTGCCCTAGAAGTCCAAAGACTATATTTTGCCCCACTGAAGTAAAGCATATTCCTTTCCGGGTCACCTAAAAACCATTCTTTTTATAGTCTTTGACTCCGAGGGTATACTATTGGACTCCATTCTTGGTCCGAAGCAGCTGGTTCCTGGGAAGTGACGTGAACTAGGTCCGACCGGTGAACCGCTCAAGAATGGCCTCCGCACCACAGTGGGTGGCGGTAGAAGATGTAATGTTCTCTCACGCGTGCGTGCCAAGCTAACCAAGTTCATTGAAAGCTTGCAAAGTTCACTGAAAGCTTGCAACAGACAGGATGCTGAGGGACTACCAAAAACAAAGACATCCCCATCACATTCACTTCCTCGACGTCTCATTTATTCTTCGCATTTTTTGTTACCCATAGCTAGACTGACTGATACGAAAAAAATCCTGCCAGCGCCTCGGCAAGTTATATCACGATAAACAGGGGAACCGGTAAGGCCTTGCAGCTGTTTGTTTTGCCTCCATTGTCAACTTCCCCTCATCGCCCTTGACTTGCCCAAGCAGTGGGCATGTAATGAGTCATAACCAGGCGTTTTCCTTTGTGTTTGTCATATTTACTTTGACTCCCAATGAAGTAGCCAAAAACCGAGACATCTGCTGGCAAATTGGGCTGTGGTAGTGAAGTTGGATCGTTGGGTCTTCTTCCCCATTCTTGTGAGGCTGCGCTCTCGCGCCATGCTGCTATCTGGTCGCCCGGGCTACCAGGCTACTCCTGTTTGCTTGCAAAAACGTTGCATCAAACCTCATCTAGATCTATGTGTTCTTTACTATGCGGTATGCGGTCCTTGTCTTTCAAGGGAAGCCTCTCTCCTACGAAAAGAAAGCAATACGGTATAAAAATCACAGGGGAGAAGGGCAACATGAATAGCTTCACTGAAGAAGAGGGAACGAAGCAAAAGGATAACAAGACAACTTGAATCTTCCCCTGCAAGGGCTTCTTTGTTCACCTCAGCACTAGACGAGCATGCGAAAATCCCTTTTTTCGACGCCCTTCCGCCACTTCCGGCGGTGCCTTTGGTGGCCGTTGGCCGCAGTGTGCAAAGGAACACTGAGGAACGTAAAATATCTCAAAGTAGAAAGGGCGAAGTGACATTTGTCACCAGGTTGTGCATGTTTATCCTCCTGACCCTAATTCCGTTGGTCATTTGGATTGAAGGTCAGCAATGACATCATGAGGAGCACGCCGGGGCATGTACCTACGCCTACGCCGTCACCCCGAGACGTGGAGATGCCAAACATGGAAAACGGGAAAGGATTACAAAAACTCTATAAGTACACGCCTGGCGGGCACATCAGGCAAACAAAGAAATTGATGCTTGTGACATGGGCTCCCCAGGTGTTGGCCATTAATGTCTAGATGTCGTGCTTGTCAGTCCATAGGCCTTTGTTTCATTCCGGGTTCTATTTGAGAGCTTGAGGGACAGGACAACGCAGGAAACGCAGCCACAAGAAACCGATTTATGTTCCTGATGCACGTGAAGAAGGCAAGAACCTGAAGCCATTCCATACGCCCGAAAAGTCAGGAAGGGTCGTGGGGTAGGCGTAGTGGAAAAGGCAGGCGGCAGTTTTGCCTACTTTCTCTTGTTCTTTCTTCTCCTCCCTCGTGCGTACTTAGAACCCTTGTGACAGACGATGGCAAGAGACATGGATACAAAGGCATGAAGAGCCACAGGGCAACCAGCACCTTGGCAAGTCGTGGCAGCACTGCACGGTGCAGGTGCGATGAAATATGTTACGGTGTGCTGTAAGGTATTGCAGCGGAGTGGCAATGTTCGGCCCGAACGCTTGAAGAATCAAGCACAAGATAGCACAAGGATGAGAAGAAACAGTGTAGTGGGGCAGGGGCAGGGTATTGATAGGGTGGTAGGTGGTAGAGAGAGAGAGAGAGAGCAGGGTATAGTAAGTTACTTCACCACCCCGGTTTTGTCCCAACAATTCGTCGCATGAATGACGGACCTCGTGAGACCGTCGTTTCACGTAAGCTTTGCCTCTCATCATTTGGAGTGGCAAAAAGCAATTCAACCAGCACCGGTTTGGGTCCATCTGATGGGTTCCGGCCGTCTTCTGCATTCCCGTGTACTGTGCCAGGTTTCTAAAAGCCACTCTTTGAACGGACTACCCTTGGCACCACCGTGGCCAAGCTCTTGCAGCCGTCTTGGTTGCTGATCCCAACGAACGGCGTCAACACCCCCAACACCAACACCCCACCCCATCTTCCAACGCGCGTGTACGATCCTGGCATCGGTTTAGAAGCACATCACTCCCGTCCCGTCTTGACCTCATCCACACACTCATCACATCATCCAGAACACCGAATGTGCAAGGACACGCACAAGAAAAACCGTACATCACAGCGCAACATTGCCGCGCACACGATGTTGAACCCAGTGGCCCTGCAGGTATGTGGCAACACCTCAACTCCACGCAAAATTTGCAGCTAAGCGCGCGAAAACAAGAATACGTACGGGGGTGACGGGGCGTGACACCAAAAAACATTTTATTCGTTGAATTTGCTCAAGCGATTGAATTGATCCAAATGATTTACATCAATGACGCATCTACAAACTCCAGAAATCCACGGAATTGAACAAATTGCATAAATTAATTACATGTGGTTTTCTTTTGACAACATGTTGCGCCTTTAATCTAACTGTTCTGAAGTAACCAATTAAGTAATGTCATTGTTTTTTCTACTGTGGAACATTTGACTTATTTTTAGAACTATATAATTGAAAAAGGTGTGGGCATAGATCTTGAGCAGCAGAAACGACGGTTGATCGCTCTCATATTGTGTCAACAATTGCTTAGAATACGTTATTTGTTCTAGAAGTAATATATCAATGAGCTTTGTGTAAAACTAAACTAGTTGCACATTTAGTCTATGTCATTCTTTACAACAACTATGAGAAAATACATCCACGACACATTATACATCGTTAGTCCTCTCCTTTGGAAAGAGGGCCGTGGCAAACATCATGTCTCAGCCCAACTCGTCCAAACCATCAGGGGAAGGATCGAACGAAGCATGATTTCTCCCCAACCATGACAGCCCTGATTGCAAACCACCCGTCTGCACGGCAGCGGCACTCCTCCTCCGCAACCTCGCCACCTAGGAGCCGACATCGCTTGGCCAATGCCACCTCAGCAGCTGCACCACTGTGGGTGGCGATCCCCAAGTGTGACGTGGAGTCAGGGCCAGGGCCAGGGAGGTACTCTCGGGTCACTGATGGGGCCAAAGGGGGCCAGGGCGGAAGCGACCTCCTGTCCTATGTCCTCACCATTAAAGGATTCACAACATGATCCTCACATTCACCTCCTGGCATGAAATCATGCATGTTCAATTCTCACAAGTAGACGCCCTGGGCGGGAGGGGGCACAGCGTGGATTCAAGTTGCTTTATCTAAGACGGTTCTGCTTCACTAGTCTGACTCCAAGCACATCTGGAAATTGAACATTGCAAAAATATGGAAATGGGAGGCCCAGAACTGAGCCCAAAGCGCGGTGAGTCTCCAGCATTTGACAAGCCTCAGACTCAGTTGGTTTGACCCCCCTGCTTCACCCCCACCCAAGGTGAACGGCCCGCGAAACCCAAAAAATGCACTTCAGCGGCGCCTTCGTCAAGGCAGTGAGGTACGGCTTTGACCTCGGAAAGTCACGACCAGGCACTTGGAGCAGGCACATCCAGGGACCAACACGGAGTGACAGATGCGTGATTAGAGTATTTAAGCATTTCAGATGACTACTGATGACTGACTGTAGAGCCAACAACCCGCAAAAAAGCTTGGACCAGCTGATCTCAGCTGGAGGCTGGGTCACTGATTTGATCTCCGATGGGTCAGGTACCTGGACGCGGATCTCTGGGCGTGTGCGGGACGGTTCACACAACCCACGAAGCCGTCATCCGACGTTTCGGGTAGGCAACTATCACACTGATGAGGGAAAAATGGACCAGGCTGCCCAGAGTAAGACTGTGCTGCATCTCCACACGCATTTACAAACAGTGAACTTCCCGACTCTGCGAAGCCCAACAGCCAGCACATCCGGCAGCCATGAGGCAGCCGGATCGAGGCGAATCTTGGACCACGAAAATGGACAAAACTATATGTAGGTAGGTAGGTAGGCGAGCAGGCAGGCAGGCAGGCAGGCAGGCAGGCAGGTAGGTAGGCAGGTAGGTAGGTAGGTAGGCAGGTAGGTAGGTAGGTAGGCAGGTAGGTAGGTAGGGAGGCAGGGAAGTAGGCAGGCAGGTAGGTAGGTAGGTAGACAGGTAGG